GTAAGTGGTGGAGATGGTATGCCTGGCAATTAAATGGGGAAAAATAGAAACCTTAAGATTCTACCTTCTGGTCCAAGAATAAATAAGAATTAACTCCAATTGAAATAACCACACACCTCTAATGTGGAAGAAGTCAAGTGGGGAGAAAAGTGCTCCACAATGAAATAGAAAAAGATATAAAGTGAACAATCATTTTTAATCCAGGTATTATTCGGGAATCTCCCATGGGAATGCCAATGCGATCTTTCCCGTGTCCACTGCCTCTCAGAGGTGATCACTCCACCTTGTTGTTCAAGCTGGGGGGGGAAATATGCCACAAGGTGGCTGCAAAGGAGAGCTGCAATTCCTCCTGAAGTCACAAGAGGAACTCCAAGCCATTCATTAATTTTCAGTTTTGTCCAATTCAGGGTCATGGGGCAAGCAGCAGGCTCATGGCACAAACAAGCAGGCACAAAAAGACACAATCACACCCATGCCAACTTTCCCAGAAGTAAATTAACCTACCGGTATGATTTTGAATTGTGGGAGGAAACTAGAACACCCAGAAAAAACACACACAAAAACTGGGTGAACATATAACCTGTATGTAGACAGCCCCCCAGGTCTGAAATTAAACCCAGGGCCCCAGTGCTGCAAGGCAGCAATGCTAACCACTGCACTGTTGTGCCACTTGGGACTCAAAGATGTTTCTGAAATGTTCTCTTGGAATTCCAAGAAGTTGCCTGTCAATTTCAAGTCCTGAAGAATAAGAAACTAGGACCAGTGTAACAAGTAGCTCTTAGAAAGGACAATCTGCCTTCAGACTTACAAGGAGCGGTGGGTGAATTATTTTTCTCAGTAAATCGAAGTAGCAACATCTTAAAGTGGCCCTGCAAATGTTTCCCTTTTCCTCAATAAGAGAAACAGAGGTAACTTAAAAGGCAGCACAATTCTCAAGGAAAGTTCATGGATTAGATATTCAATGAGGTACATGGACAGTTGAATTTAATTCCCTAAAATGAATCCAACCTGTTTCACCAGACGATTAAGGGCAATCACGCAACAAAACAAGTTAGATGGGCCAGGTGGCTTCTTTTTGTTTGTAACCTTTCTTATTATTTTATGCAGAATATACCAGTGGAAATATTACAACAGTAGATCATGCTTGTGTAATTATCCCATATAGGTAGTACAAATATTGTGTCAGTGTCAGAGAATGGTTAAAATAGGTGAGATCTTTTCACCTGTTCTCCAGTATGAAAGAAGGAGTTTCAACACAAAGAAGCCTTTATTTACGCACAGATTGTGTGTTTACACAAAATAAAGGTCCCTCTTTTGTCTTATCTCTTAGTTTCTTAATGTTTTTCTAACCTTTTTCCTCTTCGCTTTCTCAATCAGCCAACGTGGTGGGACTCTCCCACCCATGAATGACCAAAGGGCTTTATGTTGGTTCTCTTTTTTTATATCACATGACCATCCATCCTGGCTGTAGTGACAGAGGGCAAAAGAGAATCATGGGAGATGTCGTTCCTTCTCATCTGAGACATTTGTGAATTTCATGGCATTATAACATGCTTATTATTTGTAAAATTACTGGTCATTTTTCTATAACTATTCAACAGGTCAGACATCCACTAAGCTTCATAAGAAAAGCATAAGACATGAGTCCATTCCCACTTGCTGCTTAATATACAAATTATGACTTTATGACATTTTGTAAAAGACATTGCTAGTGTGTAATGTTAGAGAATATGTAATTTAGATGGGAACTTAAGTACGAGATGTTTTCTATCATGTTACATTGTATAATAACTGGAAAACCTGTCAGAAATGCAAAGAATCTATCTACAAAATACATGTCATGCAGTTGATTGGTTATGAATTCAAAGGTTCAGTTGAACAACAATCTTAAGCCCTGTATGGGAAAATAAGATAACAGAAATAGTTCAAAATGATAAAAATAAGTAAGTCCTTGCATTCGTATACTGCTTTTCATTCCAAAGGATCTGAAAGTATTTTAGATACTGGTGAGAACTTATCTGAAATGGCTTTTAATGTAAAGTATTGTGTTCACTGTAAGGCTTACAGGAAAGTATTGTAAAGGACCCTGAGATGATTCATGAAAGTAGCTATAAAAATAATTATGACATGCAACATCAACCTGGGTGATGTGTGGCAGCCATTAAATGCCAAAAGAGCTATTATACCATGGATTGTGCAAAGAAGAGAGAAACTGCTTCACCAATTAAATGAATTAATTGATAGGCCAGCCTGTGAAAGCACAGAGCAGCATTTAGCCAGGACACTGGTGTTAAAATCCCTATTCTTATGAACAGTGCCAAAGCTCTTTCATGACCAAGTATACTTTGTCTTTGATATAAGAACAATCAAGATATGAATACTGTGTACATATGAACAGCGCAGCAAAATAACAAGAATATCACATGGCAGAACTGTACTGGGTAGGGTGAATAGCTCACTCAGTTTAATTTGGTTCTGTTTATGTTGGCTCTGTGATTTTATGATTTTGAGTGTTAATAGCCCTTAAAGAAGAGAAAAGGAAAAGTGTTACAAAGACATATCAAGTTCTAAAAAAAGTGTGGTAACCATTTAAATAAAAGTGGAAATCACTTTCAGTTAAATTGTTTTGACTTAAGAATGGGTCCAGTTACGGACAGGGCTGTGGAACATTACTTGTCTGTAAACTGAGGATGAAGTGGACTCAGGACCTCGGTATGATGCCTTATCTGAAGGATGGTACTTCCTATGGCATTGCAAACCTGGTCATCATCCATTTTTTTAAAATATCTTTATCCAATTCTTTATCCCCAGCGACCCTATATAGGTACAGCAGGTACACCTATACGCCTACCAGCAAACTGGGTTTCCTTAGAGGTCTGCTAACCATGTACCTACCAGGCCGAAGATCATGCTACAAGAAAGGTCAGCAACACTGGTCCGGGATAGCTCTGAATGACTTAACTGGATTAATTGGTTACTTAATTAGGACAGTGAAGATGGTGATGTAGTGGCTTGATAATGATGCTATCTTTTAGTAACTATTCATAATTAGTTCATAATTAGAAAATTAGTTCATAATTCATAACTATTCATAATTGAGTAATAATTACTCAACCACTTGGAGTAATTATTCTTATTTAATACAATTACTCTCGACCAGCTGTAAAACATAAAAAGAAAAAAAACAATGTAATGGAATCCTTGAAAGGGAAATTTATAGCAAAACAAAGTACTTTTTGGAGACACTATAAGCAAAGAGAATATGTAACACCATGGAATGCTATTGGGCATTATCTATTTTTTTACTTCTACAAAGTGTTCCAGTCAGGCTTTTAAATCCTCCTTCTAGATACTGGCTAAGCAACAGACCATGTCCTCTGTAAATAAAATGCAAAAATAACCACATAAAACATCTATTATAATATCAAACAATGAAAAAGTTCAAGTATTGCAACAGGAAAATAATAATACTTCTTTAAGATGACTTACAAGTCACATTTCTGATTACACAATCCAATAAAAACAAAAAGCAGACATTTCTTGCAGTCCCTAAATATCCTTTTTCCAGAAAATAAATCTTACTGTATTTCACAATGAAGACTGAGTTGCCAGCACTCAGACTTCTTCAATGTGAACTATCCTCTTTTGTGCTAAACCAAACAAGAAAAATATACACAGCAAAAAGATTTCAAAATCCTCTAGGCACTGACAAGGTCAACTCAGCAGACTTCTCAGAAGAAACAGTAAAAGATGAACCAGAGGGCATACGTGGAAACTAAGTGGATAGGCATTTAAAATTGAGAATTTAAAGCATTTCTTTACCCAAAGGGTTGTAGGAGTATGGAACAAGCTACCTAGTCATGCTGTTGATGCCAATACCCTGGCTTCTTTAACAAATGGTTGGATGAGATCCTTGGGAAATTTGCTAACAATCAAAAATGGGCTAAATAATCTCCCCTCGTCTATAACCTTTATATATTCGAATAGGGAAGTTACAGTAACTCTTGCAATTTCACATAAATGCTAAGAGATAAGATTAAATCAAATGGCTTTTCTTTAAAAGCAGACAACATAAAATGTTTAATCTCCATTAGCCTCTTTAAACACCTATCATCACTGTGATGAAAATATTACAAAAATAAGAAAAATCTCATGTTATAGGAAAGGACACTTAAGATTATCTGTTTGTCTGGAAACAAAACTTTCAGTAGCTAAGAAGCAACTCCTTAGTGTAAAAAACAAAATACAGTATAGCCTGCCAACGACTACTCATTCGTAATAGATCCGTCTGTTCCTGACAAGCGAATTAATATATTAAAATTCATAACATACATATACATTTTTACATAAAAACCCAAGTTAGCTGCCTAATTATTCAATTCAAAATATACCTACAAAAATGAAAAATATTTTAATTTGCCACGCATAAATATTCACATGATTTTATACTATGTACATTCAGATTTAAAACTACTGCACGCACTATGACACAGTAGAAGGCTGACGTTATAAGTATTTAGGAAAAAATGCAAATACTTAAATAATTATCCTGGGCAACACCTAATAACTTAAAAAATGAAGCCTGTTGACGCACTCCACGTGCTAAGTAGGGTCATTTTCATTAAGGACGAGTTTGGATCTATTACACAGCAAAAAAAAAATCTAAAGCAATTTACAGAAAATATAATTAGTAAACTCTTGCAATAATATCTAACGTGTATAATACTGTATAATAACTGAATATGTAAATAATTACATGATTTTAACATCGTCTTCACGTATTCACAAAGTAAATGTCATTTAAAGAAACCAAAGAAATCTAAACAGAAAAACCTGGATAATTTATATTAATTTTACATTCACAATCAAACTGCATTTTACCTTGACACAAAACACTGTACAGTATCACACAACACCCCAGTCTTGCTGAACTGTCTTTCGTACACGCGACTCCAGATTTAATTAGTACATTAGGTGGCACATTTCAAAGAGAAACTTACCCCAAAGTACGATTCCCCCGACTCCAAGTGTTTCACCTCCAAAGTTATAATTCAACACAAATGCCTTTTGACTCTCCTTTCTATCGAAGCCATCTCTCGCACAGGCAGTTTCTATCATTTACCAGCATAAAGAGAATAAAAAAGAACTTGTACTGCTTTTTCGTGACAGCGAGATAGTGCGCTAACCCGGTGATCCACTACCTGTCCCACAGGAGTGTGAGCATCTCACCGCCTGACAATCAACTCCAAGTCTCCGACGGTGTTTATTACACTGAATCTTTTGGGTTTATGCCACTTTGGCAATTATTTGTTGAAAGAAATAATCCATAAAACCATAACGCACTACAGCAATGCCCCCTTGCTCTCCGCAATTGCATTTCCACCAAGCGTCTCACTGAAGATTTTCGTTTTTAACGTCATTTCCGATATGTGACAGGAAACGCCCAGAAGAGGAGGGAAGTGAATTGGTATTGGTGGATGTTTCTCGTCGATTTTTGCAGCATTTTAATTCACGGCAATTAAAGCAACTTTTAACCAATTTTGTCTTCAAATAAATTGCATATCTCATTTACTGTATGATAGGCATGTGCCCACAGAAAATAAAGGAAAATTCCTCACAAAATAGATGTATTTCTCCTTTTATAGAACCTCAACAGGCTGCATTGCCTACAACTTTTTATACTTTGAATACCAAATGCAGAAAAATAGTTTACGAACACTCTTTCCCAAAATCATTATGAGAGTGAATGAATTAAGTTATGCAAAAATATAGCAAGAATAATGACTCTGTATTGTATTAAGACAGAGTGATATGATGATGCAGTGGTAAACATTGTAGCTTCACACCGCTGTGGCCCCAAGTTCAATTCTGGTCCTGGGGTGCTAACCGCATAGAGTGTGTATGTCCTCCCACAGTACAAAGGCATGCTGGTAGGTTGGGAAATTTGTGAGTATGTGTGTTTATGTCTGTTTGCCCTACAATTAACGAGAATCCAGTCCAGGGTTTATCCTGCATTGTGCCTGTTTCTTGCCTGAATAGGCTCTGGCTTCCCAGTGACCATGTATTGGATAACGCGGTTAGAAAACGGATTTACGGATTTACGTGTGGCCCATAAACCTGCTATATCATTACTCTGCAGGACCAGGCTGGCCACTTTTGTTTAAGACTACTTAAGCTTCCTCATGTCAGTGCTCCCATCTAGTGGTAATATATATATATATCAGGTGGGTAGCTGCATCAGCATGCGCAGTCTGCTATTTAATCTTTCCTGTCTGCCCTGTCTTTCTCGCACCGGAAGAAGTCTTCACAGCCGAAACGTTGCGTTTTCTCTCTTCTGTTTTCAGCATGGAATAAACCTATCACTTATTCCTTTGCAAAAAAAACATATCTTTGCTATTCACCTATATACATTTTGTATTGACTGCAGTTATTTTATGTTTTCGGCAATTCCATTTTGGAGCACAGAAAAGCACATCAAATTTTTACCCATATTTGTTCCGATTTGGGATTTTAGTCTACCAGAGAGAAGGACATGACAGAAAATCAGTACATAAACACAGTACTTTGAGAACCTGCCATATTTTACGTTATGATTTCAGCTTGGTTCTGTAGGGAACAAAATTATTGAAGTTAGGTCCTAAGCATCACATTTAGGAATGAAAACTAAATATTTTACTGAATTTGTACAAAAAAAAATTTTCAAATCCACAGTATGTTCATGTCCCGACACCAACATAAATAATCCTAACTTTTTAGATAGTATCTATAAACATTATTTTATATAGCACCTTTAAAGGTGACTTTTCAAAACGCTTTACAGAATGACAATAGCAACAATTAAAAATAATAAAAAAATACTCAAGATGAACACAATGAGAATATGCAGAGGAGACAGTAGATGGTGGTACTAAATACAGAGGGGTAAAGAATGGAACCAGTTATGTAAGGCTCTTCTAAAGAAGGTTTTGAGTCTGGATTTGAAGGAGTTTAGAGAAGGTGACTCCCCGATATCCTTGGGGAGAGAGTTCCAGATCTTAGGGGCGTAACAGGAGATGGCCCTGTCACCCAGAGTGTAGACGGGCTTGGGGGACAGTTAGGAGACCAGAATTAGAGGAACGAAGGTTGCGAGATGGGGTGTAGGACAATAATAGATCAGACAGGTACTGAGGTGCAAAGCCATGTATAAAAAAAACTCTTACCATCCAATTACTCTAATATGGTAATTACACTAATAAGAAAAAGAGGAAAGAAGAGGTAACTAACATTTAAGATAAAGAAAATGTTTATGCATTCCCCCTTTAAGTCTTATTAAAGGAAGTCTATAATATAAACAATGTTCTAGTACAGTACTTAAAAAGACGTGAGATTTTAGTTATACATTTCTGTTCTGAGGACCTTCTACAGTAGATATTCACAACCTGCCTGTGGTATCTTTTGCCATAATATACAAGATCACAAAGCACACATTGTGTTTTTGAGGGTTAAACTGAATTTATTACAACAGTTATGACATTGCTACAAGTGCAGCAAACATTTAAAGCAGAAGAAGACTGTTATTGTGGACTGTATCCAGCCAGCAACTGTGCTGCATACATGGAACAGTTTGTACAGGTTTCATATCACATGTTGCTTTAATAATTCAATGTGAAAACCAATGCATTCTTCACTCTTCTCTCCATTCCTTGGGAGTAACTTTACCAACTGGTGACAAATTCCAGGTAATACCAGTCTGCGTTGCTACCTGTAAGAGCAAAAGTTAAATAAGTGAAGTGGAACATTTCAAGTAAAGTTGTTGGCGTAAATGTTTTCTGTCCCAATTGTTTTGCTTAATTAGGACATTCAGAAATATTCAGGCAGCTAAAACAGAAATCCTCACTACATATTTATCCCAATGATCATGAGTGCTCAGTTCATTCCTGCAGACCGTTCAGTCTGGCCTTGCAACTTACAAATCATTATCATTAGCACTGCGGTACTTCTGTAGAAGCACAACATCACAAGCGAATGTTCTATTACATTCACTCTGTTCAGGCACTGCTTTATCTTTGCTGTAGTCAACAGGTTATGTTTGTTATTGTTGCGTGAACATTCATGCTAAACCACTCTAGTGAGCACTGTGCTTTGTACAAAATTAGGCTGGCCTGCACTTTTATAATAACACATCTGTAACTGTGAGTCTTGGATAAAGTATCATAATAGAAAACTGGAAAAAACATTAAGGGCATGAACAATTAGAATGGTTCAGATACCATTACTTTTGTGCAAATAACTATGCTAAACCTTATGTAAAGTTCCAATACTTTAATACTAGGGCTGGGCGATATGGCCTAAAATTTATATCACGTTATAATTTTTATTTTAGACGGTAACGATATACATCGCGATATATAATTTTCTCTATGGGCACCATGTCATTCCACACAGGTACAGTTATGGAATGTGTAATCTCCTTCCACCACTGGCTTTTCCTGTCATAGGAACAACGACTAGTAAATAACTCAGGCAGCAATGTCTGCATTGTGGCTTTTCTTTTCACACCAACACTAGAACTGCCCATCCTCGTACTCACATAAATGTTTTGTCTTTAGGTGATAGAAGAGCTTCCTTGTAATTACCGCCTCTGGCTTAAACCATCACCCAACATAGTTTGCAGTTCACCATTTTCTGCTGGTAGGCCATCTTTTTAAATCCGAACTATTTCCAAACAACCGATGAAGAACCTTTCTTTTCAACAATTTATCTCGCTAACGCTGCCTTTCTCCATGTGTTTGCACAACGAACACCCGCGCTTGTTTTCATGGGAAAGGCAAGAGGACACCCGAGCGTTTTAATTGGCCGCAATGACCTCAGATGTGTCATAAACCGGACTTCTGAACCTACTGGATTTCCAAATATCAGCAAGATGAACATTTTTTTTTAATTATATAATTGGAGCTAAAGTACGGCAGAATTTTGAACTATTATGGGTCAATAGTAAAAAGTTCCAAACCCCGTTTTGCGACAATGCTGTAGACGCAATCAATGTAAACATCAAAATCCATTCTCTACCAGTATAAACAGTATAGCCAAATCCATATCGTGGCACATATTTCTACCATCCATACCGGTTATACTGCCCAACCTTATTTAATACTGTTGAAAAAAGGTATTACACATTTTAGAGTCAAATTGTTTGAGTTACTTATTACCAGTGCTACAGACAAAGCCAAAATATTTCACATTTTATGATGTGATACTAATATGCACCATTACAAATATAGTTCTTTTATGTAGTTCTTTAATGATAATTGAAATATAGTTCAATTATGTAGCTCAGAAAACAGTCCTCGTAGTAGCCAAGCCATTTTCTTCACAGCGGTGTAAACATATCTCAACTCAATGTCACCTCCCATGTACTCATAGCAGAAATAAGTACTTTATTTGTGTAGCGACTAGATCTTTTCTTTCAAGGAAGGCCATGAAATGTTGCGAGTGGAATAACTGCATTGAAAACTTACATAGGACCAAACTGCAACACAGAACAGTGTTCCAGAGACCAGCAGGATGTTCCCATATTTGTCATGGAAGTCAGGACCAGCTTTGTGATGGCACTGTCTCCACGCTGCCTGGCGGGCACCTTGTGCTGGAACGTTCAGAGAAAAAAAAACCAAAGTAATTGGTACAATACAATGAAAAGTCTGAACTGTTCAGGGGTGAACAAGCTACCTTGTGTGAATATTAAAGCTTAACAAAACATTTTTTATACTAAGCATACATTTGAAGGAAGTAGCCTAATTAATGTCTCTTGTGCCATGTTTGCAAATAAAAAGTACTGTAACTCGCTCAGAGGAACAATGACAAGTTTGGAAAAAAAACTACAATCGGTAACAAGAAAATAGCACTCAAAGTTTGCATTTAATAAATCAACAAAGTGCAGACTGATAGCATTGCTTACAAGGTCATGTATAATGTTGTGTAGGTTATCCGTTTAATAGTAAATAATTCCTTCTTAACACTATACAAGATGGTGCAGGAAGGTTTCAATAGTTAGCTGCTTGATATGTATGACAAAATCTCAAGTCTAAGGCCAACAGGAACTGGAGCTTTAACAATCCTAAGGTCTTACTATAAATGGATGGACTAGAGAGTCTGATCTGAATAAGTGAATATTACAAAAATCACTGGTTTCTGTGCAGGACATCACTTTAAATACAATCTACACGACAAATAATTGTTCTGCATAATATTAGCATTTGGAAATATTTTGAAGTTACAGTTGGATTAGAAAAATGTATACAGAATGTGTACTACAGTTCTTGGACGTATGGTATATGAACCTATGGTTTGGCAGCCAATGAAGATGTTTTAGCTGTATAAAAAAGAAGAAACTATAATAACTGGTTTTGAGACCCTTTTCTTACGAAGCGCTCCACTTCATGACGCCAAGCCAATTATTTAAATATAATCCAAGGTGGCACAGGGCACACAAAGAAGTAGTGGATTTAGCTGTGGCTACTTGCCAATTAGTCTAACCTTGATTCCCAAGCGAGCTTTAAAGATTTTATAATAAATACACATTTAAAATAGAGGGCAGCATTTATTTAACTACTTTTTTACACAGGTGGTATTTTCCACTTCAGTACAAACCAGTCGAATACCTTTCAAATAACTTAAATAAAAGAACTAAAACACACAAGCCTCGTTAAAACAGGACTGTATTATGAGAGATTAATTTTCAAAGCAATTTGTTTTAAAGTGAGATTACATTTTAACAGGAGACTAACTGTTCTTAAAACAGTTTTCGAAACATTTTAATTACTCTAGCCCATATTTAACTTTCAACCAAACGATCAAGAGAAATACTTAAGTCTGTAGCTGTTTAAAACAATAAACCGGATCAATTATATTGGAGCTAAAACGAAACTCGGAAGATGTGGCTACCGGCGCCGACACCACACAAGACTTGAGGGTACTGCCTTAAAGGGCGAATAACAACTCCAACCCAATTAATTTAAAACTAAAGTTTAAAGAAATCGCATGTCAAACATTTATTCTCACCAGAAAGGTTCAGTGCTGTCTTTGCAAAACGAAACATGCTTGGTTCCGATTCTTCCTGACAGGTTCTTTACAGTGCAAAATACCCTTGAAAGAGCAAAAAAAACAAAATGGCAGCTTTCGCCGGAAGAATTAAAAAAAACAGTGTGGAAAATATCTGACATTTAGATTTTTATTATGAGTATAGATATAAAATCTAAAATATGAATGTATATAATGATATTAACGTGTTTACTTTTTTCAAAATACAAAAATAAATATTTAAAAGGCATTATGGGAATATGAGTTTTTGATCAGTTTAAAAATCGTGACGCAGGCAGTAGAGTGTAGCTAGCAAGCAACATTAAGCGGCGCGATTGATCCGGAAGTGTCTATAAATAGCCGAATTTCAATCAAAATAAAAGTCATCCAGCTACCACTGTACTGTATGAGAACCTGCTTTGTTATTTTTTCGTGGTTACTTGTAATTCCTTAAACATTCTGTCGAATTTTTTAGGGTACTTTTTTAAAACTTATCACCAAGTTTGACGGATCTAAAATTATTATAAGTTTTTATTTATTTTGCAACACGTTTCTTCCATTTATACACATGTAAAAATAATGTAATTCCTATTTTATTCCTTAGAAATGTTTTTTTCTGTTGAATGAAAAAGGTTTTGAGATGCAAGCTTTTAAAGGAGCTGTATCACATACTTGTAATTAAGTCAAATCCTTTATTACATTTTAATACAAGTGATTTTTAAACTATAACCAAGGACAAAAACATATTTTTTGCACTATCAAAAGTGGTGAAACATACAATGTTAAGACACCCAGCCAATAGCAAATCACCCTTCTTCCTTCAGTCTCAAATCTTTATTAATATTGTTGGTCTGTGTAGATCACCTCTAAAAAAACTGCAGTGCAGAATTGAATGGGGAAAAATTGTAGCTCTCCAAAGGTGGATGAAATCTATTGCACAGATCCACAGCTAATAGAAAATCACCTTGTTTTTGTAAGACAAGTAATAATAATAATAATAATAATAATAATAATAATAATAATAATAATAATTGCTTACACTTATATAGCACTTTTATGGACACTCCACTCAAAGTGCTTTACAGGTAATGGGGACTCCACCACCACCAATGTGCAGCATCCACCCGGATGATGCGACGGAAGCCATAGTGCACCAGAACACTCACCACACATCAGCTATCAGTGGGGAGGAGAACAGAATAATGAAGCAAATTCAGAGATGGGGATTATTAGAGGCCATGATTGGTAAGAGCCAATGGGAAATTTGACCAGGATTTAATTTGGAGAACATTAAATAGCAAAGATAGGGTGAATTAGAAAATGTATTTGGTTCTGCATCAAACACAAGTAGGCATCAACAATTCTGTCATTGAGTCAAACGTCTGGACCCTTTAGTATGTTTATGACATTTAAACTTATCCAAAGTGTTCAATTCATTTCATTCTCGAATACCGTGGTGTTTTTGCACATTGACACTCTAATCATGCTGGTTTTCAAATTAGGGTGTCCTTTGCCCTATTTTCACCTGGCTGGCTGTAGAACAATTATGGATGTTAAGGTAGGACTCACATCTTCACAGGGAGTATTCTGCCTAATTCAATTTGTTATAATGTACTGAGACAGACAAATGAATGAATAGACCTTCAACTGTGAAGTGTTTTTCCCAGGAAGGGGGCTGTGCCTCTGATTGGGTGTGGAGCTTTAGATTTGATCCAGGATTGTCTAAATCACAGCTATTGACCAAATACCAGTTAACAATCAAATAGGAAAACAATGTCTGACACCATCAATGGTGAATGTCACCTACTGGTCTAATTGAATTGAGAGGTAAAGGTGCCTTTTAAAAGGGAGTCAGTCACTCAGAGAAGACACTGACCACAAGGCTAGTATATTTTTTCTTTTTGGATTTCTAAGTTATTTTCCCTCTCTGGACTAACCACCTTTGTATTAACGGGGTTCGGTTGGAGTTTGCACTTTGATCTCCAATACGTTGACCGGATTGGAGTAATAGATTGGGTTGTGCTTGCTATCCACTTAGCGTAGAGCTCCACGACAACTGTAAGTTCTTTTTATTTTAGTATTGTTCATTCTAGACTTGTTTCTGTGAGCATGTTGACTCAATTTGTTGTTCATATTGTGCAATACATTTTTTTTAGATGTTATTTTTCTCTGATTATATAACCTGCATTTCAATCTGTTATGCCCGAAAGATTTTATCTCCTTGCAAAACTCTTTGTAGCCTTTTTTAGACATATGCCTTCTCCAAAGCCTAGTCCAGGTTGAAAGGACACTGTTTTGCTCACAAATGCCCAGAAAATGTCAGAATATGTCATAAGGTTTCTTTGTGTCATGTCCACTTGCATTTGAAGTTGAACAGGTTATGGCAGAGTACTGTTATGGCACTGGATATCGTAGCCTAGCCAGCCGATGGCCTTCCTCCGAAAGGACTGGTCGATACCACAAGACAGTCTTCCTGATGATACAGAAGGCACAAAGGTAAACACTCCAAATCCCTCTAAAATGGTTATTATTGGTAAAGGTTTTCTATAAACTTAGATGACTACTTATGGGTGTTTTTTTAGTTTGTGCTTGTTGTAGGGGATTCTCATCTGCGGAGCCTTGTAGATGGGCATGTCCCCATGCCACAAGTATGCCTGTCTTTTGGCTACAGCTGCACTCTAGGTACTAGTGCTAGGAAGTCCTGGGAGTTTGCATACGTCGAACCCCGGATCTGGTCTGTCTTGTGGCTCCAGGAAACAACCTTAACAAGAGCTGCACAATCGAACAGTCCAGAAGGGACTTTTGCAGGCTTGTTCAAAGCATTATAACTAAATGGCTACTGGTGAGCCCCAACAATCATACTTTTTAAAAACAAATCGTGAAGTTTGGTGACAATGCCTTAATAGGGTGGATCTGTATGAACAATTTTCAATGTTTTTTGAAACAGGTGGTTGTCATTGATTTCCCCCCACGCCTGATGGTAGATTTTTCATAGCAAGATGCTGCAGAAAGAATACCACCGAACAGCTGAGCATCGTGGGGTGAGGTATTTGTCTACAGCCGAATACTTCCCACAGAAGATCTCTAACCTGTGGTGTAGGGATGGTGTGCACCTCAGTGACAACTACGGCATGCCTATCTTTGCCCAGCTACTCTGGTGCGCATCATACATGCAGCTATGTGGTCCTGGATGTATGCCTGTGGTGACTCCAGCACCAAAAGAGGAGCATGAAGTGGTTACCCTTCAGGTGGTTGTGACAAGGACAACCACTATGCCACCACCCAAACCAGCTACCTCTGCTTGGTCAGTGGTTCGTAAGGCCCTGAAGAGGGAGGATGCCGATGACCTGTACAGGCAGTTCACATCCATAAGTGAAATTTTCAATCTGAAATACTATACCATAATAACAATATATAGGCGGTCTCCAAAATACATCACTATCTGTCTTACGTACTTTTATCTGAAGAAGTGTGTTTGTTTGCATGTTTGTATTTTCAAAGACAAACTGAAATATCACAATAATTCCATTTCCAGGGTCAGAGTATAGCCTTCATTCTGGAAGGTGACTTTGATATAGGGGAATCTCGGAGTGAGAATCTGGAAGGATCAGGGTCACATGTAAAACAAGAAAATGGAAGGTTCAGTCACAGCAGGCCAGTGAAAACCTTGGATGCCATAAGTATTAAAACGAGATGCATGCATGCAAATATGTTTCCAAAACCAGCTATAATAACCCAGCAAACTTTGCAGAGTATTTTATCAAAAGAAAAGCTGATGTGAAGGTTTTCAGAACTACAATACAAACAAAATCACACTTTTCACATTCTCAGGAACGGTGGCTGGCCTTAGTGCAGCATCGCAAGGGAAGGTACTTCAGGAAGAATGTTTTTTTACTTTGAGGTGATTATATGCAGTCCTGTCCCACCACATACGGCTGTGTCCACAGTTTTTATGATAAGCAAGGAACACACTCAAAGTGCTGTCAAGCAATGTTTAACAGCCATTGGAGACCAAGAAAGGAGAATTTTCAGGCATAATACACTGCCTTTTCAAATTAATAGTGATCGCTCATTAGTGTTGCTCCAAACCTCATTAAATATTTTTAATGGGGACACTATCGAGAGCTATCTCAAAAGGTGTTGGAAAATTGTCAATAGGACTGCACAGTACCATGACTTAAGGTTTATCATAATCAGGGCCTGTAAAAGTGGAATGAGGCAAGCTTGTGAACTCTGTAAAAAGCAGTATAGTGGAAAGTGTCAAAGATACAATGTCGACATGTACTGTATATCTTCATTGTCATAGTTAATTCCAGGGGATTAGAATAATAATAATAAACTTTATTTTATATAGCGCCTTTAATGGTGGCTTCTCAAAGCACTTTACAGAATGACAACAGCTATAAATAAAAAGAATACACAAGATAAAACACAATTACAATACACAGAGGAAGGCCTGTCTGCTCATATTTATGACACCTCATTATCTTGGGTAGTAGATACAATAACATGCTTCTCGCACAGTCTATTTCTAATCTCAAAAGTCGAGTGTCACAGCTACCAAAGAATGGACGGAAAGTATATTGACAGGACTGTATCAATTTCTGAGGTGAATTTAAAAAATACTAAACAACTGTTTCTTAATAATGACAAAAATAGAATAAATGAATGTGGAAAATGTAGGAACTCTTTAAAAAGCACATGAAAGGGAATTTTGTGATAAGATAAGACTGAATCTGTCTAGAATAAGTAAGTAAAACCCTCATCAGGACACTCAATAATTTTAAGTCTAAATGATATATGCAAAATCGATGGTCAAACAAATGATCACAACATGCCACTTAAATTCTCAAAAATGGGTCAAATTGGCAATCTTGATTGGGTCAATAAAACATTTAGATTTGGGAACATCATAAACAACTGCCGGTTTAATTCTGTCATGCAGTGTGTCATTAATATAAATGCAATACAGACCAAAATGAATCTGGAATTCTATTTTGATGGTCTTAACATGATGCCTGGCTGTTTATTAAATTAGGTTAAAACTGCCATCAATAATCCTGGCAGCTACTTTTCAATAGCCCAGATAGAACTGGTGTTAAATGAGATATGCAAAGTGATACCTTCTCTAGTTTTCAAGAAAGAAAATGACCCATCTGATTTAATAATTCCCCTTATGTCCTGGTTTGTTTGCAGACAATTAAACAGTAACTTTATTACTTTGCATGTAGACATTTGCCAGAACTGTGGTTTCTTGCATACCGAAACACGTGAAGTCAGTTGTTTTTTGGTTGCACAAATAGGTGAGTTTCTGATTAGTTTATCAACCCTCATACATAAGTCTTAGATAGTGGTCTAAGATTCAAACAGTGTCTTAAACAGTGGTCAGGAGGCAACAATTTAGCTCTTGTCTAGAAACTATTGTGATTCAGATTCCCAGAGCACATTTCACAGGTATGATATGCACTCAGATTTCCACTGGTAGCAAACTGCAATTGGAATTGGAAGGTGTTGGTAAAGTGCAATATACAATCAAATCCACTATATGTCATGAAGGAAAGTCTATAAGCAGAGGTGGACATTACTGGGCGGTACTTTTGTGCATTTGACAGAAATGTACAATTAAAGCTAATGACCAACACATCATAACAAAGCCAACAAATACCATAGACTAAACAAATATTGTGTTTTTTTCCTAGAAAAAAAGGAGGCATCAGACAGAGACATCTGTTGGTCAAACCATGTACTCACAGTTCAGAATGCCAATACTCAAGAAACACCTGGAGCCACTGAACAATTACATATCAACTCTACTGTGGAGTTAAGAGGCACTGAAAGAGTCTTTGAATAGCTTGCAATCAGTGAAAAAGAAACAGACAGCATTATCTGCAACAATACACAAGACTTTCAAGGCCCTTATGGAATCTAAAGCTATTCAGATTTCCAAAATACTTGTGGATGTTGAACCAGGTAAAATTGACATAGAGACTACCATGAGAGAATTTCTTGCAAAACAATTTTCATCCAAAATTTTGGAACATCACTATCTCTCTGTTCAGACCTTGAATAAATTCAGCTTTCAGGGAATTCCGATTTCACAAACCAAATACTAAAACATATCTACACTAACCTAACAGTTGAACACCTAGCATCAAGGAATCACTAAGAATATCTTTCCAATATAATATAAAATTATTACACTGTTTTATATGCAAAATGTCTAGTTTTGAAAACCGCCCAAACATTAACCATTTACCTACCACTTTGATTATCATAGGTTACAATCCCCTCCGTCTCACCATCTCCTCCATTGACAATAAGCAAACATACAAAATTTCAGGTATGCTGCTGCATTTGAAAAACGTCCCTTTTCTTTTACTGTTTAGGAGAAATGGGAATGGCATTTGGTTCTCCGATGAAAATCATAACATGATCTACAGCTTTACAATGAAAATGAAAGACTGATTTGTCAGACAGTTGTCACTACATATGATTTAATTTCATTTGAAAATCTGCATGATTGTAACACTTCTGTGCAAAAACACTCACGTAGTCGAGACTGTAGTGATGTGGAAAAATATAGGGATTTAGAAGGAGCAGTTACAATTGCACAGCCTATAGCTGGGATAAGTTTGGGTGATATATATGCTTAAGGGTCCAGACATTTGGCTCAGTGACAGAATCATTGATGCCTACCTGGCATTGATGTAGAAGAAAATGGAGAACCAAAGGATTTTAGTACTGCACTCTGTTTTTGCTAGTCAGTGTTTAAGAAATTATATCTTTCCAGAATGTGATTTGTTACTACATCTTCCTAAACCCCCAAAAAACTGGTGGAAGTTTGAGAAAATACTGATTCCTGTGTATGTAAATTCTTCACACTGGATGTGTGTAGTTCTAGAAATGAAAAAAGCAAACACGGAGAAATGTACAAAGTATCCAAAAATGTAGTTAATATTGGGATCATGGATTTGGTTTCAAGTATCGGCCACCATTTAGACAAATCAATTAAATGTATACACAGGTATTTAATGGTTCAGTATATAGCGCTTCATAATAAAAAAAAACTAAATCAATTTCCGTATACAACATGACCACGAATGCAGGCATTTCCCCAGAAAGACTGGGCACAAATTTTTGTTTTATCAGGAATGAGACTTTTTCTTGTCTAGCAGTACACATCACCGTGTCGATTTACAAAGATGAAGTGATATAAAAACACCAAAAAGATTGCAAGAAAGCAAAAAATGAATGAAGAATGGCAATTTCCTACAATCTGTGGGTCTCTTTATCACATTCCACCCAGTTTTGAGGATGTAAAAATTGTTGTGCTATACTGTAAATGTGACTTTACCTTCTCCAGGATTTTTTCCTGAGGCAGGTTTTAGGAGACTTTTATTTTGAAAGGTGCAGCCAATTTAGCGCCGCTTAATGTCGCTAGCTTCACACTACTGCAGAAGGACGCAAAGCAAGGTACATAAATAAAAAGTAATTTTACATATAAAAGACATTTAAAATTTACGCGTGTTTAAGAAAAATAATTGCAATTAAGTTATAAAATGAACGATTCTGTAAAAATGTCTTTATTTTTCATTAAATAAAGATTTAATGATAAATCTAACAACATAGAGAAAATAATAAAACAAGTTGATGAATCCAATGTGAAATCTTAGGCATAAATACCAAAAATAAACACGAACAACAACGTTCGTTGATGAGGGCGGCAGGTAGATATATCTTATAAATTGTAGAGAAGTCGAACAGTGTCAGGATGGCCGAGTGGTCTAAGGCGCCAGACTCAAGGATTAGTTCCTTCCCGATTGGGGATTCTGGTCTCCGAATGGAGGCGTGGGTTCGAATCCCACTTCTGACATTTACTTTTTACTCTTAAGTAAAAATTACGTTTCTTTTCATGAGCGGAAAATGCAAAAAGACAACACTTAGATTAAAGTGCATAATTAATGCCTTTTCTTCATACAATTTTAGAGTCCATCCGAAAGAGTGGAAATGTGTCTTTGGCATTACCATGAAAAACATCGACACAAAAATAAATACGCGTTAAGAACAATAGCTTGCAACAGTCATGCCATGCAACAATATACACATACATGCCGCTATGCCCATATTACACGATTACTACATTAATCCGATATCTTCATACAAGAAACTCTTAGCTGTGTTTAATACATCGATTGCATACGGGGGGAAAAGATTTCTTGTACACATTGTTGTTGGCCATAGGCATTGTAAAAAAGGTAGCAGTTGAAAATAGGAACGAAGAGGGTGGGGGCGACATCAACGATAAACTGAAATTTCCTTTGAGCTGCAATAATACAGAACTTTAAACTGTTTCTGTGATTGACCAATTATTTCACTAACAGTATTAACAATTCCAGACAATTTCCCCTTACTCTTAATGCTCAGGCTACCATACCATACCGTGATACCAAAAGTAAGGAGGTTTGCTTTCTACCAACATTCTATAGAACCTTTCTAAAACGTTTCGACTCTAAACCCTTTTCAGCTTTCTGACAAAAAAATATACGCCGACTACCCTTCTTAAAAATGCAGTTGGTATTCTCTGCAATGTTTACTGTAAATACTCATCTATTACCCTACGTATTTGAAACAATAAACAGCAATTCATAGGTTGATTAATAAGGGTGTGTGTTTAGCTCGCATCATTTGTTAATTATGGCAGCTAATATAATTTTTTGTATCATCTATATTTAAGCGAAAAGTTTATTTGTTCAAAGAAGGCATTACATGTGTATCCCGTGTTTTCATTATACTGTACGAAACAAAATGTTTTATAAAACTCTTGGAATGTTAAGTAATCTATTTTACATCCATAATTAAACAAATGCTGTCCTACACCAGTGTAATTCACACAATGTTACCGACAGAGCAAGGGGAACTGAAATCAAATGTACACAGATATTTTAAATACATGTTTTTCTAAAGAAATGCATTCCTGTTATTTGAAAATATTTGCACCTGTACTACTGTCTCAGTATCCCGACACCAACCAGTTTCGCGCATGTGCAGAAGTAACCCTAAACCCGGTAGTGTGCAAACAGCTACGATGCACAGAAATGATATATCCTGTTGGAAAACGAGCGAGGGGTGGGAATTTATTTAAGAAGAACGTACATCTACAAACGTACTTAAGAGGTATGTAGGCTTTTTACATCCTTGTATTGCTCGAAAAGTTGGCAAAGATGCACATTTTGCAAAAAAAAATGCAAAATATTAAAAGGATTTTCGGCCGCGCTTGCATTTGGTTTTGTATTTGTCCGCGGTTACGGTTTACTACATATTAAGATAATATCATAATATGCATCACTTCAACCATCTGTTATTAAAAACGGATGTGTTTTATTTGAGTTTTAATGACAGCTGTGGGCGGTTTAGTTTCACTTTGGCGAAATCAGTTTCCATTGTGGGGGAACTTTACGTTTCACAACTGTCGGGCAGACCTTAAAAAAGCTACGTGTTACTGACCCAAAGTTCTTTAAAACTAGAAAGCTTAGAGAACATACCTGTTTTTTTGCCTAATTAATCAGTGCGCTTCCTCCGTGAATACTTACTTTCCTGATACTACAGTATATCGCTATAATATCGCGAAACTGTTGGTAGGGGCCAGATGATTTATTACAGGATTAGATAGCGAAACGTTGTTTCGCGACGTATTGTTTTTCTGAGCCTGTTTTGCAATAACATGTTTGCTTAGGGGAATAAGCTACTCGTTGCTGACTTAAAAATTCTTTAATTTACTTTAAAACTTCTTGACCCTCCACATATTTTTTTAAATAGGTCAGTAATATAAACATGGCAACAACTATCGTCCATGACTCGTCAGAGGCGGTAGAGCTTTGCTCTCACCGCGGCCTGTACCTGAAACCCATAGCCAAGCTGGCCATCACTGTGTTCTGGCCTGACCAGAGGGAGCCTATCAAGGCCGTGTCAAACTGGGAGGTGATGGCCAGGCTGAAGCAGATGGCTCACCCACACCAGTTCATCTCCATCCGCGTGTCCAAGAGTACTCAGGAGTTTGTGCGCTTTGAAGCTGAGCTGGAGACCAGGGCTCTGGTGCAAGTACTGTGTCTGAAACTGAATGGCCAGACCCTGGAAGTGCAAGGCTGTAGCAGAGCCCTGAAGATCCTTGCTGTGGAGTCCTGTCCAGATTTTCCCACCCGTCAGGACTGGGAGTCCTATTTCCAGGACAGAGAGGGTAGACCAGACACGGTTCACTTAGAGGGTCTCCCTTGCAAGTGGTTCAGCTCCCCAGATTCCCGCAGCCAGAAGCCCATGGAAAAGATTGTGAGGGAAGTATTTGGGTGCTTCGGTCCAATCCGAAACATGGATATCCCTGCTCTGGATTTTTACCGGGAGGAGACCGGAGGTAGGGTCTCCACTGCCTTCAGCTTCACCGGACTGCAGACCTTCGACGCCTACCTCCAGTTCCAGGAGTACGAGGACTTTCTAAAGGCAATGGAGTCCTTTAGAGGCATGAAGCTGATGCTGAAAGAAGGGGATGGAAAGGCTCTAGCATGTACCATTAAGGTAAGGCTGAAAGGTTTTGTATCTCAGCTGCAACCTGTGTTACAATCCTATACTTGGAATGTAGGTTAATTGTTTTTCTAAGATGCATTGGATAATGTTTTAGAATGTGAAAATCCTATCATTTTAGAATGAGTTTTAGGATACTTGACTGTTTTTAAACACAAACAAAAGAAATAAGTGATTTTTTTATTTTAGAAAGAAATGTTCTAATTCTGTAGTATAATCCTGCAACTGTTAATGGAACTAATATTGAAACGGTAAATGAAAATATGTCTCGACACTGTTATCAATTGTCAATTGACTTTGACTGCTAGTACAGAGGCAAGCTATTTAAAGATGCAACAAAAGTGGGATTTTTTTAAAGGAAGTTAAGGAGTTTTAATGTCGAAAGCACAATGTTGACACTTTTTAATGGGGATTCTATTCTAGGTGGATTCAGAGCAGCAATATCTTTTCTGTAAAGTGGTGACCAAAGCAGTACATTGTGTAGAAAATGTAAAAGACATGTAAACTTAAATACCTCTCTTTTTTTATAAGTTGCCTCTTCTAGTTAGCATTTTCTGTTTTGTATTTCTAGTTTGTTTTTAAAGGGGAACTAAAATGCTATTTTTATATTTCAGGGTTAAAAAGAATCAGCATTGATAACCATAATGAAAGTAAAATGTACACAGTAACACGTAAAACCTCCAATTTGTATCACAAAATAGACAAGATTTCCAGGTATGTGCAGTGCCATATTCTGCAATTCAGGATAAGGCAACAAAACATCCAATAACGTGTGCTGACATTGTAAACAAGCAGGTTTGTGAATACATCTACAGTGGTGTGAAAAAGTGTTTGCCCCCTTCCTGATTTCTTATTTTTTTGCATGTTTGTCACACTGAAATGTTTCAGATCATCAAACAAATTGAAATATTAGACAAAGATAACACAAGTAAACACAAAATGCAGTTTTTAAATTAAGGTTTTTATTATTAAGGTGGAAAAAAATCCAAACCTACATGGCCCTGTGTGAAAAAGTGATTGCCCCCTAAACCTAATAACTGGTTGGGCCACCCTTAGCAGCAACAACTGCAATCAAGCATTTGCGATAACTGGCAATGAGTCTTTTACAGCGCTGTGGAGGAATTTTGGCCCACTTATCTTTGCAGAATTGTTGTAATTCAGCCACATTGGTGGGTTTTCGAGCCTTAACCGCTTTTTTAAGGTCATGCCACAACATCTCAATCGGATTCAGGTCAGGACTTTGACTAGGCCACTCCAAAGTCTTCATTTTGTTTTTC